CCATGCCAACCAAAAACCCACTGAGGCTCTCCTGGTACTCCCTCCATTTTCAGAAGCAACGTTGGTCCCTCAAACCATCTGAGAGTTGCTCTCAAGCACTACCCATAACTCCTTCCTTGGCTGGAAATTCCTTACAGTAATACTCCCAAGTGATCACATGTAAGGTCTCTCCTAATCTACTCGCTTGCTCTTCCATTCATACAAAAATATTTGCTGAGTTCCTACTGTGTACCAGGCACTGGAGAGCACATTGTCCCTGCCCACTTGTCTCCCTGTCCTGCAGTATAATGAACGACATGCCCTTTGCTTTAGTTACCACGCTATAAAATGGAGGGGCGGAGCAGATGCACGTTCTCCCGGTTTTTAAATTCTGTGATTACCATTTAAATAAGCAGAAAGAATGCCTCCTTAATTAAGTGATCAAAAAAACTCTAATTCTTCAGAGGCAAAGAAAATGTTCAGAGGCATCTGGTTAGTTTTCAACTACCAATCATAATACTAGAATAAATCTGCATTCTGTTCCATTAAACAGAAAAATAAGGTATACAGAGAATTCTAGTGACAGAAAAAAGTGTAAAACAGGAAACATTGCTCATTTCTACTAACTTTGACTTCCCTTCTGCACTCTTGGAGCTGAATCCCATCCCCTGGGTGCTCTCCTGTGGCTCAGCAAGCGTCCCCTCCTTTGGTGACACTCACTGTTGGGTCTCCCTACCTGTTAAGTTGGCCCAGGCTGAGGGCCCATCACTGACCCTGAACATCTACTTTGCGCTACAATATGTTTGGGATGCAGTCTCAGGACTGGCTTCTGAGTTGCCTCATTGGTCCCAAAGCCACAGGTTCAATGAGGCTCCTGGTGCCCAGCTCCTGGTATTCACTACTGTGGCCCACCCCTTCCTAGCTGATGAGTTCTGAGACAGGAATTTTCTTTCCCTAGGAAATATTGGGAGTTAGGAAGAAACTTACATTCAGTTTTTCCCGAGAACCCATTTTATAATAATGCCCTCTGAATTCTGCGGCAAATTCCAAGGTCTCCATTTCCGAGCAATCAACTAGCTCATATGATTCTGCCAGGCTGACTGGGCAGAACTGTCCAAACTCGCCCAGGCGAGAAATCAGTTCCTGAGGTGTGATGCATAACTTGTCAATGCAGGCAGCTTTCCCTGTTATCAAGAGATGAACTATTAGCATACATACATCTTTTCATAGAAAACACAATGATTTTTAAAATTAAAATAACTTCAATTACACAGCATCATACAAATGCACACACATTCTATATTTCCGAACAATAGAGTAAAAAGTAAAAGTTTCTCTTCACACCTCTGTCCTCACAGTTCCATCTAAGAGAGGTAATCACTGTTGTTTGCATCCTTTGCAGACCTTCTCTGCATAGCTGCATGTACACAAGTGTATTTTTTTTGCATACAGTATGCTTATGCCACTATACTGTAAAACTTATTATCAGTTAGTTGTGGTCTTTGACATCTTTCCATATCAGTTATATGATTTACCTAATTTTTAAAATTGATGCATAGTATTCCCCATTGTATAAATATACATATAGTTTACTTAACCATTTATCTGTTAATGAATATTTTGTTTGTTTTTAATTCTTAGCTATTATAAATTATATATATTATTAAAATATATACACACATATATGTATATGTATGCATATGTACATACACCCACTCACACATATACATTTGCTTCATATTTTTGATTTTTCTATGGACAGATTTTAGAAAGTGCAAATAGTTTGTTGACATGATGTTACTAACACAAACTTCCCCCTATACCCAGATGCCACCCAAAAGAAGTGAAGAAACATTTATCCAAAAGTGACTAGGTTTATCCTAAGGAGTCTATTTTTAAAAGCCAAAGTTCCTTAAATGGACAAGTTTGAGAGTTTTCTTCCCAATACTTCACTGGAATGAGG